TTGATTCGGTGGTTTGTCCGAATGAACGAATTATTATATGCCCGAATATACGAAAAACGTATTCAAGCACATAATAATTTGTTTGAGAACGTGCCGTGGCCATCTTAAAGGCAGGGCGCACGACATCACGCTGTTATGGGCACTGCCAGTCGCCGGCCAGCTAAATTAGGACCCCACCTGGAGCTCCTCCCACTGGACCAGCGCTGACTCGTCGCTGCTCTCCCGCACCGAAAGTAAGTGGAAAAAAAAAGACATAGCGCAAACATCGGGGCGTTTTGACAAGTACATGTACTTGTCAAAATGCCCTGTTTGTTCCGCCCTCACCCTGCAGTGCCCTCAGGCGGCCGCCTGACTTGCCTTGCGGTAGCGCCGGGCCTGAGCGCTGACAGGTGTGATCAGAGCCGCCTCCCTGAGTGCCCGCTTCGTAGAGCTGCAGCGGCCAGGAGGAGAGAGAGTGAGCGCTGACAGGTGTGATCAGAGCCGCCTCTCTGAGTGCCCGCCTCATGGAGCGGCAGCGGCCGGGAGGAGAGAGAGGGAGCGCTGACAGGTGTGATCAGAGCAGTCTTAAAGAGGAGCCCCTCCCAGTCCACATCTTTCAGACGTTATTAATCTGAGTTGCCCCACTCAGTATGCCTGTCGCTTGCGGTCATATTGAGTGGGGCACTCATATTAATAACGTACTGGATTAGTCTGACCCAGGGGCGGACTGGGCCAGGGGGCAGGGTGGCAATTGCCCCCCGGGCTTCTCTGATACCCTTGCAAACTCCCCCCACCGCCACCGCTGCAAGCACTTCATCTCTCTCCTCTTGGCCGCTGCAGCAGCAGAGCGGCCGAGAGGGGAGAGATTAAGTGGTTGAGGCGGCCACGGCAGTTTCTTCCGCCCACCTCAGCTGCCATTGGTGGAAGAGGAAGACTGCCGAACTGCAGTTGGCCGGCTTCTGCTGCGCGCGTGAGAGAGAGCACCTGGAGCTGGCTGGACGTGTAGGAAAACCTCGCTGCTCCTCCCACCATCACCAGGAGAAGAAGAGGTCAAAGCAACTGTAAGTCCCTGTACTTTCTTTGTGACCTCTGCACTGCGTTACATACTGACCTCTGTACTGTGCATCACACCCTGACCTCTGTACTAGGCGTCACACTCTGACCTCTGTACTCTGCGTCACACCCTTGACTACAAGTACGGTGCATAGGCAACTATCTTAGGGCGTGCACACACGGGGGGCGTGGGGGGCAAAAATCCTTGCACCGGCCATGCATGTAGGATTAGTTACTCCAGAGATGTGGTCTCCCCTTCTTTTCTTGCAGGGATGTGTAGTGGACCCCACATATTGTATGTCGCATTTTCTACATAATTTGTATTCCAGTTATCATTTACATTTACCATACGAGAAAACTCAGAGATAACATCTTTCCTTCTGCTTCCATATCTACATTCCTTCCATGACATTCAAGCAGTAGTATACAGTATAGAAACATTTTTTTATTATGTGAACAACATCCTTATACTGCTTACTGTATTGTGTAGAAAAACCTCCATGGTATATTTTCCCTGTCCCTTATATTCTCTGTTCTTTTTTTTTAATTAGTTGGGATCTAGATGTCCTAACCAGCAGGTATCATGTCCTGTTTTTCCGGTGTTCTCTATCTTTATATCTATTAATAGGGGACCTAATTAAACATGTGGAATCCTCCAATCAACTGTGTTTCACATGAATGTTTCTCCCTCAGATATAGATCTGATGCCATGCTTACAATGCCAGACTTGTTCACACCAATTCCAGTGCATTCCAGCACGGTTAGGAGCTGTATTGCCCTGTATCGGATAATCTGGTGCCCTGGCACAGCAATGCCCATGTTGTGCATACACTATTTTTTGTGATCACACTGCACTGCGGGCATTGCTGTTCCACGGGTTCTGGTGCAGGCGATTGCACTGTGGGTTGGAAGGTGTGACTGCAGCGCCATTGACTTGAATGCACCACCACGCCCCCTCCTGCTAGGGTTTCCACCTTTTCTTCAAGCGAAACCCGAACACTCTAGCGACGCGCGGATATTTTTTAGGGAGATTGAGTCGTGGTTAATTATATATATATAAATAGCCCCACCCTTTCATATGTAAATATAACAGTTGAGAATCTTTTCAGTGGGGGACCAGTAGCCCCTATCTTAATTTTGGTTGCCCCTGTCTGCCTGACATCTTGTGTCTGGGTTTCTGCTGCCATGAAACTCGGACACAGCATTCAAAACCCGGACTGTCCAGGTGAATCCTGGACAGGTGGCAACCCTACCTCCTGCCCCAGAACGCAGGGATGCTTTAATTTTCCGATCCAGTGCATTACAGCTACTAACTATGCTGGAACGCATTTCCCAGCTGTTGTCTTCTTATAGGAATTAGTTACAATCTTTTCTCCTAACACATCACCCTTTGACATAAGATCCAGTAAATCAATATGTTGTTTGCCCCAAATAGCAGTAAACACAAGATCCTCTTGGTTGTCGTTGAGGTAAGTCAAAAATCTTCCAATAGGGACACTAGTTGTTGTGATCCAGCTGACCTCCATAGATTTCCCTCTTTTTGGAGGGATTTCCTCTCGCTTCCTGTTGTGGCTGTCGGACAGGAAGTAAAGGGAAATCTCCCCAATGAGACACAGATGGCAAATAAAAGCTGACAGGGTTCCTCTATATGGCTTCAGTTCTTCTTTAACTACCCTCCTTTGGACCCACATAGATGGTCAACAGGTGATTCATGTACTGTAGTGACCATACCACTGAATGTTTCTATTTCTGCCAATTGGAATTTCTTGTTTAATAGACAGAGAGCTTTCATTTATTGATCACATTCAGCTCTATGTTTCCAATTGCAAAACTACAAAACCCATCTCATTCCAACCCTGTCTTGCCCAGGACATGCTTGGACTTGTAGTTCCATATTTTTGGCTCTTCACTTTAGTTACATATTGACATAAAAAAAAAAACACATGTTGATATGGAACTACATGTGCCTGCCAGTGGTTTTCAGTCCTTGACAAGTAAAGGTCAGTAAAATGATGGTGATTTTATCCTGTATATGAGAATCTACTAATCCAGTGTTCTAATCAATTTTAAATCTGATCGACTTTATGATTTCCTTGTGCATACCGCTAAGACTGTGCAGAATACTCAGTATTGTACAGTGTGATTCCAGCACGTCTTAGTATTGTGTCTGTCATTTTTAATGGTCAAAGAAGAACTTTGAGAAAATAAAAAACATGCCCTTGCAGTGAGGCTACCCCTGAGTGTTGGGTCCTTGTTTTGTCTTGGGGGTTAAAGCATTCACCTGATCCTCGGTCTTGCAGCAGTCGGCACTCATCTCTTTCTCTCTCTCTGCTACGGCTATGGAACGTTCCTCTGCATCCTCATGTCTAATGGAGGTGATTGGACCTATGCAAGACGTCATGGGTCATTAGACTACTGGTACCCAGAGGAGAAGAGGAGCAGTCACAAGACAGCCAGCAGATCCGAGGACATGCTAGATATGTGCGCTAGCAAAAAATGAGTTTCATTTCAAATTTTTCGTTATATCGTTTTTCGTCCGAAAGTCAATTTGTTTTGTTATTCGGATTCGTCCAAATCCGACATTTTCATTCATTTTCGGATGCGTTATATAATAACTAATTAATTTTTATTGCAGCAAAGAGATATTAAATCTTAAGTTTTTTTTTGTTTTTTGACAGTCCACAGAAACAATTTAAAAAAAGCATGGGGTACCCCTTAATTCATACCAGCCCTGGTCTGAGGTCTGTCTTGCATTGGTGCTGGTCTGAGATCTGCAGTGCATTGGTTCTGGTCTGAGGTAGCCATGCATTGGTACTGTTCTGAGGTCTGCTGTACATTGGTGCCGGTCTGAGGTTTGCCATACATTGGTTGCGGTCATGGGCGGACTGACCATTCAGGCAGATGAATAAGGCATCACACCCAATGATCTCCTCTAAATTCAGAGCAATGCCATATGATGTGATACCAAAGAGAATAAATATGGTGGAATGCCACCACCAACACGTCCAGAGCTGGCCCACTGTGCCAGGCCATGCCAGTGAGTATGGCTGTATGTTGGATCGCAATGGCTAAGTAAGGAATTACAGCTGAAACAATCAAATCCTTAAAAGAACCCATTAGAAAATATAAAAGGAGCTGCTGGTTCATCATTAAATCATAGTGGGTCTAATTTTGAGATGCCTGTCATTTTTTGGGGTCACTTTCATAAAGGCAAAATAAATATTTTTTTTGTCTAGCAGACCTGTAAAACAGATGAAAATCCTATGCTGCTGAGTGCACCAGTTCATAATCAGCCTACATCTCCCACTGTGTGTTGTTGTAATGGGAGTGGCATCATTTGATTGTAGTTAGTTTCTGCAGCACACAGACACCAGAGCAGGAAGCCCATTCAATAAGGAGCAGATAAAGCTGAAGGGTGGAGAGATTGCTGCTACCATAAGCTTCACTGTTAAGTTGGACAAGAGCACAGAACAGCCGTGTTCTCATCTGAATGTGAGGTCTGATGGTAACTGTTATATAGGGACCCATTATGCAGAGACCTGAAGAAGTACAAAGCAGCTGTTAGCAGGAGATGGTCTTCTTCACACTAGTTACATGAAGCCAAGTAATATTTGATTGGTGAGTACATTCTCTTTTTTACACATAGTCCCACTTTTTTCAACTGAATATAGCACGAATAATGTGCTCACTTTGGAATCAAGATCAACATCATTGTACAATTCATTGCTCTTGAAACAATCTTTGTAACAAATCTGGATTCTAGCTATGGACAACCGGTCTTTTGTCACCATTCTAAGATGTTCTTGGATCACCCATTGTCACCTGATACCTGGCACGTTGAAGATTAATGAATAATAAATTCCACAACCTTTCCATTACCAACAAAGTAAGTATAGTTGAAGACAACCTGTAAAGACGCCTCATTCACTGTTTTCTGTTTGATCTGCTGGATGAATGATAACTAAATGATGAAGAATCTTTCTGTACTCAACAATGAGAGCTTACCAGACCTCTATGACGATGATCTCTTCCCTCCATGTACTGAGACTGGATGTCCCCTTTTCTCCATCAGGATTCTCATCCCTGTAACAATTGCCAGTCTGGTTATAATGGTTGCTGGACTCATTGGGAATGCCATTACGATCCTTATAATCAAAAAATACAAAGAAATGAAGACAACCACCAACTTTTACTTATCCAGCATGGCTGTGTCAGACATGATCATCTTACTGTGCTTGCCCTTTGACTTGTACCGTATTTGGAGGTCTAAGCCTTGGATCTTTGGGGGTTTTCTTTGTAAATTTTTTGCCCTGATTAGTGAAGGTTGTACCTATTCCACTATTCTTCATATCACTGCTCTGAGCATTGAGAGATATTTAGCCATCTGCTTTCCCCTAAAAGCCAAAATCTTTATTACCAAGAGGAGGGTAAAGATTGTGATCATGTTTTTGTGGGTTGTAGCCCTCCTATCTGCTTTCCCGCTTTATAACATGTTGGATAGTGTAGAAGTTGATAATGACACTGGACCCTCCAAGACCAGCTGGGAGTGTCGATATACAGAGTATGCTATGGAGTCTGGTCTCCTTACAATCATGATGTGGGTGACCACAGTGTACTTCTTCTTCCCCATGTTCTGCCTGACTATTCTCTATGGCTTTATTGGGAAAACACTATGGAAAAGCAGAAATTCCATTAGAGGACCTAATGCTGTAAATCGGGGAAGAAGTCACCGACAAACAGTCAAGATTCTAGGTAAGTGTTGAACTCACTCCTTTTTTTTAGATATTACTAGTATACTTCTGTGATACAACAAAATGTTATTGAATATCTAGTTCCTAGGTGCCCAAACCATCCATGTGCAGTCCTTTGCTACTTGCTGTGTGGCCCTTGATCCTCAGCAACTAGTAGTGGGAATTGGGGCAATAATTTGTGAATGAGCTGTAATAACATTTATCTCTTGCAGTCTCGTGTAACATGACCCCAGTCTCTGACTGACTACTGCAGCATGTCTACAGTCTCCATCTACTCCTGTAGCATGTCTGCAGTCTTTAACCAATTCCTTTAGGCCTGGTTCACACCTAGGCGTATTGCATATGCGCGTTTGTCGCGCTGTTGTCCTGCGGTTTTTTTACCGCGATTTGCGGTAAAAAAATTGCGCGATAAACACGCGTTTCCGTTGGCTACTTGGCTGTATCCCAATGGAAACACGCAACAAAAACGGCCCAAAGTAGTACATGTACCTTTTCAGGTGTGGGCCGTTTTGTAGCGCGTTAGGGACGGGCTGAAATACGGCAAGGTGTGAACCAGACCCATTGAATACAATGGGATTTAGATGTTTGAGCGTTTTGTAGAGCGTTCGTCGAGCGTAGAACGCGCTACAAAACTTTCAGGTGTGAACGAGGGCTTAGTGAATCTACAGTCTTACAGTCTTCTGTAACATTACATATACTGATTATTATGTGTGCCCCCCCTAGAGTTTGCAGCTGAGGTCCCCTATACCTCAAAAAATCACTGCTGAGGATCTATTCTGTATTAGGAGCTCACCTTCTGAAAACAAATTTAACACCATACTTAACCACATGTTACATTGATTTTGGAAAGGATTTGATGATCCTACTTTTTTACCCGATAGGCACATCCAGTGCTAAGTACAAGCTGAGCAAAACTGAAGCAGGTGTATTTAGCCCTGGATGTGCACCACTGTAGCCGGTCACCTGTAGCATTATGGTGGAATAATGGAGGAATAGCTAAAAGTCTGCAATCAACCTGAATGTTTGTCCTGAAGGTCTGCAGATATTATCTCCTAGGGATAGAGAACAGGAGATCAGAATTTCCATTGCTTCTACGGGCTTTACTTCTGCCCTTTCATTCCACCATTATTCTCTCAATAAGCAAAATATAAGTATTGTGGTCAAGTATTGGGGTCAAGCTTTAAGATGGTCCTGAATTGTTTTACAGTGCCAACAAATTTGTGCATAAGTCAAGGACAGTGGATTGGAGCATGGGTATGACAGGTGATATATTAAACCACCTTAATGTGACACTGACCTCAAGAGTTAAATCTTAGAAATACATCCAAGTACCCTAGCTATAAATATAAATGTAGCTTATTTTTGTATCACTCGGCTGTGGATCCTCAAATCATCTCTGAATTGGTGCTGACACTGTCCTTCCTTCTGGAGGGTGGCTAACTTTGTTCCCCATGGTTCTTGTGTGTGTTGTAGAGTAGCCACTGCTCCAAGCTCGCTCCTGTGATGGACTACAATCTCAATACAAATTAGTCGACTAAACTTGAGATTGTAATCCATCACAGGAGTGAGCTTGGAGCGGTGGCTACTCTACAACACACACAAGGATCATGGAGAACAAAAGTAGCCACGCTGCGGAAGGAAGGACAGTGTCAGCACCAATTCAGAGATGATTTGAGGATCTACAGCCGAGTGATATACAAATAGGATACATTTTTGTTAATAGTTCAGGTACTTGAATGCATTTTGTACATTTAACTCCTGAGTTTAATGTCACTTTCAAAAACAAAGATTTGTCTGGTGTTCCATTTTAAAAGACAGTCATCGTCTTCTATAGAGCATTTGAGTGCAAGTTGTGCAGATATTGTTTCAAAAGTCTTGTATAAAATTGCTAAATATTCCCAATCTCATGTTGACTGCACAAATAAGGTCCAGTATTGTTAATAGTTAAGTTACCTGAATGTATTTTTAAGATTTAACTTCTGAGTTTAGTGTCACATTAAGGTGGCCCAATATATCACCGGTCACCCCCATGCTCCAATCCACTGTCCTTGCCTCATGCACAAATGTGTTGGCACTGTAAAGCAATCCAGGACCATCTTAAAGCTTGATCCCAGACAGATATATAAGAATAGCACTTTGTGACAGTCCTTGAACTATCTCTAATGTAACAAGCACCATAAATATGACAACTAGAAATTTGAATTCTTCTGCACCAGTTTTAATGGTGTCTCTTCTGCCTTTAAGCGGTGGTCGTGCTGGCTTTTGTCATCTGTTGGCTGCCTTTTCACATTGGAAGACTCATCTTTGCGTACACCACTAACAGTGAGGTGATGAGGATTTCCCAGTATTTCAATATTGTCGCCATGGAGCTCTTCTACTTGAACGCCTCTATCAATCCAATCCTGTACAATCTTATCTCCAAGAAATACAGGACTGCTGCCCATAGACTCCTCCGACTGGCCAGGCCCGATGAGCGGGCCTACAATGTCATCAAGGATGAAACTGGAGGTCACACAGAAATCACCACGTTTACCAACAATTAGTATATTACCCAAATCTGATAGAGAGGGTAACACTGTATGATTGTAAAGACTTTGCTGTAGAAGGTCATCCCACCATCCCTCATCGATCTCTAAAATTCAGGGTAAAAAAAAATGTCATGTATTGTGCTGTAAATATTTCTGGTTCCATAAGACTGTGTTAAAGTATATGTAAACCCTAAATGAAATAACATCTAGTTTAAGTTATAAATAAATAAAGAAGGTGATCAGCGCCAGTAAGTGTAATGTGAAAATAAGAGCTACCAAGCACTAAGGATATAAATAAATATCTGGAAAATGTGAAAAACAATATTGTGCCGAGCTAATAATCATACACATCTAAATAAATTGAAACATATATAAATGAGTCACATATATGAGCCTTCAAACAAATGAGCCATAGAAAATATCTACACACAGACATAAAAGCAATATAGACAAAGAGAGTCCCAGGAAAAAACAAAAGCAAATAATGGTGATTGTGCAGAAAAATTCCTCCGATGTTTCGCAGCCAATCTGCATGTAACTCTCAGGTAAGGATAATCACACAATGCAGGCAGACTTTCACCTCCACCCAGTGAGTGATGACAACAAGTGAGTGCTCACCTGGGGAGGTAGACCCACAGAGCTAGGTCAAATGCAATTTTTTTCTTCTTAATGGGGGAGGGAAGCCCATGCACAGAAAAGGCGATAAGGTCTCCTCAGATCACAGGTACCAGAATAAATCCAGGAGGAAAGAGAAAAGAGACAAGGACATAGTGCGTAACGTCCAATAAAATGCAATTTATTCAATTAAAAAATTGGGTATTGCTGGATCAGACCAGCAGGGCAAATGGCAGCAAAGTGATGAAAAAACCTGTTCGTCCGGCTCAGCTCAGTGCAGTGACATCAGAAGCTTTGCCCTACGTACGTTACGTCAAAACAAGTGACTTCGTCAGGGGAGCTTTTGTTTTTTCCTGAGACTCTTTTTGTCTATATTGCTTTTTTGTCTGTGTGTTGATATTTTCTATGGCTCATTTGTTTGAAGGCTCATATATGTGACTCATTTATATATGTTTCAATTTATTTAGATATGTATGATTATTAGCTTGGCACAATATTGTTTATCTCATAGTTTGTTAAGTTACTTTGTATCAAAATCAATTGTCATTGTTAAATAAAGCGTTTTCTTGTTTTCATCCCTTGTTGTATCTTAGTGTTGCTGATCTCCTGCAACCTCTGAGCAGTCACTTCCTGTCTACATGCAATGACTTTTTTTTAGGGTGGGTTTCCTGATGGTGACAACAGTGGACCATACCGAATACTGATACCGGAAGTCCCATTAAGGAAGCTGCGCTGCATGTAATGACTCTCCTTCCGGCTTCCTGGTTTGCTGGGAAGCTGTATGCATGCTCCCTCGTCACCAGTTGACAAGGAAGCATGCAGCCGGCTTTCTGTCCAATCAGGAAGCCGGGGGGCGGGTAATGACTCGCTGTCTGGCTTCCTGATTAGCCAGCTTCCCGACCAATCAGGAAGCCGGGTGGCGAGTCATTACACAGTGCCCGGCTTCCTGATTGGCTGGGAAGGCAGCTCCGTGCTACCTTGTTACCAGGTGATGAGGAACTATGGAGCCGGCTTTCTGGCCAATCAGGAAGCTGGGGGGTAGGTAATGACTAGCCGCCTGGCTTCCTAATTTGCCAGCTTCCCGACCAATCCGTAAGCTAGGCGGCGAGTCATTACGCTGCGCCCGACTTCCCGATTGGCTAGGAAGCCGGCTCCATACTCCCTCGTCACCAAGTGATGAGGGAGCATGGAGCCGGCTTCCTAGCCACTCAGGAAGCCAGCTCCTTGGTGACGAGGGATCATGGAGTCGGCTTCCGGGCCAATCAGGAAGCCGGGCAGCATGTAATGACTTGCTGCCAGGCTTCCTGATACCAGAAGTTCTGGTATTGGGATAGGCATCGTAAGCATTTGGGCGAGTATGAATAATCGTAGTAAAAATAGGTTGATTCATAAAAAACAGGAAGAGTGAATCGGGAAAATACCACTAGATGAAGCCGAGGATCGTAGGAAAGAAATACATCTTAGTAACAATAGAGACAATGTAACAATTGTAGAGAACGCTGGAGGGAATTAGCTGATGAATGTAACCATTGCTACTAGAGGGATCCCCATAGTAGCAATAGTTACATTTATTTGATAATTCCCTCCAGCGTATTAAGAGTAATATTAGGGTAACTGTTAAGTGTTTATTTAAGGTAAAGGGCTCATTTTTATTATTAGGGAGCATTGTTACACACTTGATAATACTACATTCTAATATATTCAAATATCTTGATAATACTGAACTAATGTACCATTATGGACCTTTATATATGGTACTGCTCAGTAGTTCGCAAGGACTCAGGAGGCTTAGTCACCCCAGAGGAGTAGAAAGTATTGATAGCTATTGAAAACACACACCCTTCTTAGGCCCCTTTCACATGGGCAGCCTATCAGTTTTTCAAGCGTACCCGATCGGATGCCCAATTTTAGTCTACGGGCAGCTGTGTGTAAATGGACAGACTGTTTATACCTGGTTGCCCCCGCCCCCGAGCCAGGTCTGGAAAAACAAACGGATCAGAGATCCATTTTGCCAGACCTGATCATGCCGGATCGGGGGTAATCTGATGTACACATGTCCGTTTACACCCGATTCCCAATAGGCCAAGATGGTTGAATTGCTCCATACTGCTCTGATCAGCCCTTGTGAAAGGAGCTGAAGAAAGCTGAATACTGACAAGAAAAGGGGAATATTTACAAAATAGTGAATGTGACTTTCACCAAACTCCCTGCAGGTCAATCTTTCTGGTGCACGTGTTTTAAATGACAGTGTTTGATTCACTTGTAGTGAATGTTTGGTAAGGGTCACATTCACTGCTTTATAAGTATGGCATTTAGAGTCTTCTTTGGTCTTTCAGGTATATTTTTTGAATCTGAAAGCAAAGGAACATTTTTTGTAGCTCAATGGGACTGGTTAATGAAAAGTAGAACAAATGGAAATCACAAAATGAAAGCAGTAAAACTCTGATTGGCTTTGGGCAGCAGCTTTTCTTGTTGTGTGCAGTTTTTATACCTTAACCTATTTTTTCTAATAAAGTAAACAGTGGTGTTAATATTTTTTTATTTGTGTTTATCATTCGTATGTAATTTTGGCAGTATTCAATATATAAACATAAATATGTATCTGTGTATTGTGCCAAGTAAGAGGGCTAAAATGATATTGTATGTGAATGTGATTGTAATAGTGGTCTGGTCTTGAAGTGTTAAACTAATTTGATGGTATTAGACAAACAAGATTTATAAAGTACTGTATTACACTGTTAAGATATAGTTTGTTCAGATTGCCAATGGGAATCATCCTATCCAAAGCCTACAATGGTTATGATTTACACTAGAAAGCATCTACTAAGGAACTTGTTCACATAAAGCACCATCACTAAGCCCAAACATGGTTGAGTCATATTTAGAGCCAAAGATCCGTGCACCAAATTCCAAATAAGTCTTTTGTGCCATGACAAAGCACCCGGTGATGACTGCTATTTATACATCTAAGTCTACATTTTGGGATAAAAAGCAGAGTCGGCTTCTTTAGTGTTGCACTTTGTCAATAGAGTGTAGCTGCACATGGCTACTGTACTATCATCTAGATCAGTGCTTCTTAAAGTGTGGGTCGCGACCCCATATGGGGTCCCGCAAGTGAACAGGAGGGGTCACGATCTGAATCTTGTTTCGTGCCCAGGCCTCCCCGGCCGTACCCCCTTGATGGCGGTCCCGGCCGGGGAGGCCTGGCCTTGAAACAAGATTTGTTTTGTTTTCGTTTAATGTGCAGTGTAGTGTAGTTTTTAAGGTCGCGCCCCCCGTGCACTTGGAGAAAAAAGGGAGAGACACCGTCCAATGCTGGGGTCCCTTAAAAATTTCCTCGCCCAAAAAGGGGTCACGAGTGGAGAAAGTTTAAGAAGGCCTGATCAGGGGTTCTTAACTGGGGGTAATGATACCCCTTGGGAGTATGGAAACCAAACAATGGAGGTATGGGAACCAAACGATGGGGTATGAGAACCAAACGAAGGGGTATGAGAACCAAACGAAGGGGTATGAGAACCAAGGGATGGGGTATGGTAACCAAATAATGGGGGTATGGTAACCAAATAATGGGGGTATGGGAACCAAATAATGGGGGCATGGGAACTAAATAATGGGGGTATGGGAACTAAATGATGTGGGTATGGATACCAAATAATGGGGATATGGGAACCAAATAATGGGGCATGGGAACCAAATGATGGGGGTATGGATACCAAATAATGGGGGTATGGGAACCAAGTGATGGGGATAAGGAAATGGATATTGGAATAAATAAAAAAAATCAAAGGGTATTATCTGCAATATTGAACCTAAAATCAAAGTGGGGAAATCAACGCGATATGTCAGATGGCATTGTCAGTGATCGAGCCTCTATTCTATGTCTTGATTGCACAAAAACAACATCAACAATCTTGTTAGTTGTAGCTAGCTTGTTTTGTTTGTGATTTGGGCTGTCCAATTGGAATCTGTGGCTGTAAAAAAAATATATAGAACACCTGATGTAGATAGTGACTGTTCATATTATCTATATGTTATGTGTCAAAACAGGTTTTTTTATCTATGTACTAAGACTGAAACAAATATATGTCCATCAACTCCAACCTTAAAATAATCTTAATAATAAAAAAAAATTGGATAAACTTTCTACTATTTGTTTTTTTGTTTATGTGGCTAACATATTCTATTGTGTCCCTTTAGGGAAGTATGTGTTTTATCTGCTGGAGCCACATTTTCATAAGATTTACATGAAGAAACCTTTTTTTTTTTTAACAGCTGGAAATGTAACTTTTTTACATTTATTATATTATAAACTACACCTTCTCCTATAAGAAATAATAATAGATTATGACAATTGTTCTACTTGTGTGCTTCTTCACTGTACAATCTAAAGCAAACCAGGC